CGTGCCGCATCCAAAAAGGAATTGTTCAACGGCGAAGACTTTATCCTTTCTCCTTTATGTGCCACAAATGGGAAGTATTTGATATGGCGCGCAGTGACCTGTAGTGTACCCTGTGGTTTTGAGGGAGGGAGGCAGCTCCAGGATGGGTGAATCACTTTGCCCATTCCACCTTCCCACCTTTCATGACTAACCCACACCTGAGCTCGCTAGTGCCGACGGAAACTTTCAGTGACCCTTCTCAAGATAGTACCTCATTTTCCTCGGGAGACTTGTCTCTCTACAGCTAAACTAAAGCTGTGAGATCACAGAAGCCCTGTTCGGGGTTCAAGTCTTTTTTTTGCATATTTGTCTTCCGCTGTCGATTTTTCACCGGCTCCTTTGTAGGCTTGTGTACGTTATTGCACGGTACTATTGTTGGGATACTGAGAGCAAGGGACGCAGTATATAGTTTCGTTCGCTGCGGATGCTGGGGCGTGTCAAGGTAGCCTGGCCTAGCACAGCGCTAACCCATCCTCCACCAAATGTGATCGTTTGCTAGTTTGAATAACTGTTGGAGCTGGTGCCGCGCCAAACCAAGCCCATAGACACGCCCAGCATTCGCAGCCAACAATACTGTAATCACTAGCTGTTAACTATGTATTACCTATATCTCCTGACTATTTAGAGTATTTGGAGCAGAGTTGTGCAAGTCTCCTCGGGATAATGACGCTCACGGTATCCATGGAAGACATGGAACTGTTTCCGAAGGATGCATTGCTCAACACCAAGCCTCACCCAATGCCGGTTGATATCAATTGTATAGCACAGGTAATCCATTACTATTTGAAAGATGTGAATTCCGAAGCACTGCAAAATTCTGATCGTTCTTGAGAAACATATTCTGATAAGGTTGTTTACAAATGTAGAACTGTCGGTTATTGTGGACCTCTCCCGCGATAATTGGATCGATGTGTAATGGGCGGAGACTCACAATTATTGTACCTACCTCATTGGCGCGCAACACCTCTCGGTTGAATAAGGGGCCGTGGATGTTCACGCCCATTCATGAGAAAAGCATGATATTTGTGAGCACGCGCTCGATTCTCCTCCCATTCCATTATCGTGGAAAATACTCTCTAGTATTCAGTTTTTTTAAGACATTAGTGAGCCGAGCCTTTTGCAGATGCAGTCATCTCTTGACCGTCTATGGTGGTCTCGTTTGGTGATTTCGGTACGCGGTTACGTTGTAAACTACGTACAAAACGACGACGAAATTCTCTTTCATACCGATGACGCTTTCATATGCATTCACCGATTTCTCGCCGAGAATGAGCGGCACGTCATGCTACACGAACAGTACGATCTCCATGAAATGTGCGACAGGAATTCGTACGAAAAAACTTAATCACGAAGGTCGAGCAAAAGTAGCGCGTAGGATCACGCTCGGCCGTGGTCTTCAAGGGGAACATCTGTTTTTGCTTTCCGTTAATGCTGCGGCTCATCAGTTGGGTGCAACGGTGAGATTACAGGCGATTCGGCGGGAGTCATATGATTTACTCGATAGACCTCCCAAGGCGAGCGTTGGGGTGTCTTAGCTCGCTCTAGTGCAATAGTGAAAAGGCTTTAAAACGCTCGCGCGCAACCTCTGAATGCGCGCGGCTTCTTAAACTCGAGCATCCAGCTTAATATTATCTGCTTTTTGTCCTTTGTCTGTTTTTTCTTTTGTGGGGAGAGGTCGTAGCGATACCGCCTCTGGAGGAGGGTCGTATAGTTGAAACTCATCACAAAGCGATGGGGTGCCCTCCATCCACCTGGGGGTCAAGACTTTTGCGCATAACTAAGCATTCTCGGTATACCTTTCAGAATGCGAACGGTGGCGTTGAAGAAATGGTCCGCGATGACCTATGAAAATGCCAAAGATTGTTCGGGAAGGGCAGGGTGGCCCGCGTTGGATAACCTTGTGCCAGTTTCGCGGCGGAAAGTTGTGAGGTAGAGGAGTTAAGGTGTAAAGTTGCTTCCAGTGGCACCTCCTTTTTTCCAGTGACTCCGCCTCCAGACTCTGCTTTGAAAAAGTTTAAAGGCTTTTAGCCAAACGCTATGCTACCGGATAGGAAGCATGAAATGGATGCTCTACTGTTTCTTTTGTGATCATATGGTCGATTGTTAGGAATCGGCGGACTGGACTTGCCCCCGAGCTCGCGATCCTCTGGCCTTTTACCCGTGCAATCGTTTGACGCTGGAACGGCCCTGTTGAAGGCGTTGGCGACATTCCCAATGGCGCTTTCTCTCCAGATCCCAATCACGTAACGGCTTCTCTTCCATATTGCAACAACACTACCTATGCTCCTTGTAGCGGACCGTGTCTTTAAACAGCAGTTTACATTATGAAACATCTTCGAACATGATTTTTAGCTGTGCGCTGTCCCGAAGCTTCGTGTAGATCATAGAAAGCTCGTTGACCTCAGGGCTATCCATACCTGATTGTGGCATCTAGTTTTCGAGGAATAAATGGCTTCCAAAGCTTTTGAAAAGCGTTTGAGAAGCATGGCGTTTTGAGCCTTCCGAAATAAATTTTTTTGTGAAGATGAAATGCTAATGAACACTGGTAAAACATGGGGCTTTAGGGCAGCGGAATACTTAGGTTTTTTTGACTGAATATTTCTGAATTGGTGCAGTTTGCAGTTCATCTCCGATGCAGACACGATTGTATCATATCCGTTGATCAGTGAGACACTACTAGCACTGAGTTCATCGCGACAAATCCAGAATCCGTTCGTCGACAAGCGAGTGGGACCAGCATTCACCAGGGTTTTTGGCCAAATCAGAAAAGCGAATGACGCCACTTATCGAGTCGCTAACGGTGAGACCAAATGACTGTATTCCATACACAGAAATTTTCAAGGACTTTTTTGAGTCTTGGAATTTTTTATGTTCGAATGTTTTCCTTAAAATGTTCGCATCTCACACTGCACAAAGTACGGAAAGGTTTCAGATACAACTATAAAGTAAAGGCGATGGCCTAAGCGCTTATCTTGCTGCATCGACTCGCGTGGACGGATAAGAATAACGAGCTTGGCTTCTAACCGGTATCTAACTGGCATAGAACAAGTGGGTGCCTTCAGTGGGTCATTTTATACTTGCTCTCTTGTAGATAAACACTGAATCAAGCAATTGGTCGATGCACACAGATATACACGTTTAATGAGATAACGGGCACCAGTACACTAAGCAACGCGATTGCGCAAAAATGGATGGCAAGTCGTTACGGCACATGAGAGGGATAGCAGTAACGCGATACGTTTGCGGTTCAGTTGCAACAGGTAATGGAGCAGCGCCTGTCAGGAGAGCGAATAATTCCGCCTCCACCACAATGGCCCATGTACTTGCTAAGGATACAGGGCTTCTGTCAATCAGAATGTTCTCCTGTGCGAGGGTCCAGAGGTCAATCGGCATTTATTGCGCCGAGGCATAATCAAGGAAGGAAACGAGAAGAGGAAAAGGGAGGAGGAACAAGGGAGAAGAAGGAATGACGAAGAGAAAGAATGTATGAGGAGAGCTTTGCATTCGGAAGATATCCTGGGACCATAGGCGTAGCGGTAATATTTTGTGCGTTCACGGGACCCTCGCTTCCAAAGCTATGTACGTGCGATTCCGGAATACTGGATATCCTCTGTTTCCCTTACCTACAGTCTAGGAAAGTGCGTGTCGCGCTTCAAAAAGGTTGGACAATGTCGAGAACCCCAGTCCTTCCTTCCTATCCATTTTGGTTTCCTTCCTTCCTATCCGCTTTATTTTCCTTTGTCCAAGCAATAGGTCGCGCTGTTCTCGAAAGCATTCGTGCTAGAAAGAAGGCTCACCGGTGTTTTAGCCCAACTCTGCGACCCAACTGTGTGACCCTGAATTCGCTGTCTTGGGGGGGGGGGGGGGGGGGGGGGGAGGGGGGGGAGGGGTCGGTCTACATCAGCGCTGCAACCCCGGACTCCCACTGCATCGTAGCCTCACAATGATTCAATGTGTGCCTGTCCCTTTTGAAGATCTATCAGCGAGGGTGTGGTCCTTTTGCTATAAGGTCACGTCGAAACCTATTTAGGTGTTGAAGGCGAGCGAGGTTACGCAGCAAATTACATATTCAACGTTTTTGAATGGGAGCATTGAAAGGCTACCTTTTCGCATGTCGTACCAGGGGCACAACCGTTTTTTGACTGACTATTGGCTGAGCATTTGCCTCTTGGAAAGTCCATAACAGTGTCCTTTTCGTATGTCTTCAAGCCTGTACAAGATTGGATGGCTTTATTACTAGGCCTACGTTTCGGCGTCTTCGCCTTCGTCTGAGCCTGAAATGGACAAAAAACAGATGTAACTTGCCCGCTCAAGCGCCTAAACAATCCTCAAGACAATTTCCCTAGACTAGTAAAGCACCAACGATATCAATCAATAGTATTATGGCTCACCTGATCAGCCGCCGCTATGCGGGGTCGACCACCCTGAGGAACACTTAATCGAGAAGTAACCAGTACTATTCACCCTCCTCGACCTCACGGTAGATCAAAACTTGCAAAGGTCGAGGAAGGGTGCCAGCTCACGCGTTATGGCCACACACTCTCCCTTTCTATTCATCTGAGGGTCCTTTGCCGTAATCCAGAATGCCTCCAATGTCTTACGCGCTGTGATCTCGGCCTCCTGCGCTAATATGGTCACCGACACGTCGAATGTCGTGCCTTCATGATGTTGAACCCGATGGGCTCCAAGCGGGGTATAGGCCCGCGCGAACTACTAAGTCCCTAATAGATGTTCTTTCGCCGCCAGACGCGAGGGCACGCCCCTGTTTCCCTTAGACACTCACTGCCACAGCTTTGGCAGTCTATCAAGTAGATGACTGCAGAATTTATGCAATCACCCTGCTTGCCAAAGGGGCAAACGACACATTCTGGAGTGTCGAGGACCAGGACGAGAGACCACTCGAGATTTGAGCTACGTACTGTGCGCGTGCTAGTCGGGCTACATGCCCATACACCACCACCTCCGCCCCACTACCACGGGTATGTGACAACACAATCGTGCTGGTAGGTGTGGGCGAGCGATTTCGCACCGGACAGACGACAGTTATCTACGTTTATCCGACCCACAACTTACGATTGTCTTGTCCGTCTCTTTTCTTTTTTCCTTTTTTCTTTTCTCTTATACTCTGTTCTTTCCGATCTAGAGAAGACGTGAACAGTCTCGTGAACTCTAATAATTTATAAGTGTACTGGATATAGTGTGCGATGCAGTATTATTACCAATTCGCATTATCCAAACAGTATTAAACAAGCTATAAAGACAGCAGAGACGGTACAGTTGTTTCAGGTCAAAAACATGCGTATATTGTTTTCATGCGAGTTCTGTGCACTCTTCAAGAACGATGGATGGCTGAGCGAAAAGCACGAAAGTCGATTCGCTTTGAAACCGATCCAGAATGGCAGCCAGATGATCGAGTAGTTCTCTTCCAAGAGTTCTATAAAGGTTTGTCGCATACCCACTGGTTGATCCGTCGTCACTATTACCGTAATCTGGTGTTATGTAGCCACCATGTTTCGGGATGGTCTAGCGCAGGTTGATCCTGACATCGGTCCACTGGTGTCGCAGCTCTTCATAGAGTCACTGTCAGTCGGGTCGCAATTAGCGGTCCCCATCTGCGGCATTTCTACTGGTTGTTTTCTTTCCAAGTCGATCTCAATACTATCACCATTGGAGAGCAGTGTGGCTAGAGGCGGGGTGATCGCGCCTTCCTCAGGCCGTTCCCCACTGACGGTGATGTTACAAACTGTAAATACTCATATTTATATTGTAGCCAGCTCGAGACTTTCGTAACATCGGGCTCATTTCAAGAATAAGAAAAACCTCTAGGAAAAACCGGTCAACGTCCGACAAACTCAAACGCTCCTAGAGGCCTTGTCCACACAGAGCATAAGAGCAGAACCTGACCTGCCATTGTGCCACCAACTCCCTTGACCATATCAGAACGCAGAAAGCGCACCAATGAGGAAGACACAGTTGTAGGCCCGACTCTGCCTATGGAATCAGTGCGCTGTGCCTTTATCAGGCGCCGTAGTCTGTCTCCACTTTCAGCTTCTCAGTGAGATGGAGGGTTGCAATTTAGATCGCCGGAGACGAAGATGCTTCAACTTAACCTGAAGGTGTCTATGCTTCTGGTGAGATATTTTCATCTTGACACAATTGTTGTCGTGTCTCTGTCCAACAGAGAACAAGATGACAGTTGTCCCAGACTGGAATATTCCACGAGTAACCAGTTCCGTGCCATGTTCAAATGCCACGCCTACTCTGGCTCAGGGATAAGGAGTGTACTTTAATGCAAATGTTAGCTAGCTTAGTCAGACAACATAACACCCATAGAAGGGAAACAGACAAAAGCAGTATCTTTTTCAAAGCTTATTGAACAGTTCAGCTCAGCCCCACATCGAGTGTGTTCCATTTAGGG